ACCCCACCATAGCAGCTGGGTTAGCCCATGACGGGTAAGATCAGTAGGTGCGGTGTCCAACCTAAGACAGGTGCCGGTTTCATACCTGGTCAAACAGGAGAGCACCAAAGATAATCCTGTTGTGCATTTGCAGTCTTCAAATAATTATTGAAAGAAGGGAGGATCTGCTGGAAGCCATTTGTTCTACCTAGCTGAAGGCATTTTGTAATTCTCTGAAGCCATTTTGTAATTCTCTAAGGACATGTCTGGACATGTTGCCCCACCCTGGGAGGATAGGTTTCGGTTTACTGGGAATGCCCTGCTAAGTTTCTGTTTACCAGATAACTTTCAGCTTACTGGAAAACGACATGTTATTCTCCCCCATTGCGTACTTCTCCTCCCCCCATTGTGCTCCTATATATATATAGTGAGTGCTTTCAAAAAAATGAAGACTTGATCGGAGATTCTCAACTTGTCTTCCTGCTTTGTGCCTCCTACCCCCCCATTCTCTTTCTTCCCTTTCTAGGGTCACCATTGAAGATCCCCGTGGGCCGGGGCAGATCTTTCCAAGCATGAGGTCCCTTTCCAAGGAATAGCCTCATCTAGCCAGCTACATGTTCAAAATATGAGAGATGGAGCTTCTTCATCCTTGCCTCCAAGGAGCACTGTGGCTGCACTTTTTCCAAACAAAAACGTATCTGTTTTCCCAACAAACATATCTGTTCATTCTTTTGGCAGTTCATGGAATATTCAGTACCCTTCACCAACACCACAGCTCAAAGGCATCGATTCTTCTGTCATCCTTACTCATGGTCCACCCTTCTGATGAATAATTGGTCATTGAGAAGACTGTGGCCCGAATCAGACACACCTTAGTCTTCAAACTGACATCATTATTCTTCAGCATTTTGGAGAGGTCCCTGACAGTGGATGTGCCCAATGCAATACATCTCCTGATCTCCTGACTTCTGGTAACAAACAATGGGATAGCAGACAGCTAAGCCAGGATGCAAACTCTGCTCCCAGCAAGGCTTCTGCTCTACCCTTCATTACCCACCACAGTTCACCAGCAGATACCAGAGTTTGATGCATTCTGGCACTGGACCACCACACTGCCTAGTGCCCTCTTGTTGTGGGTGGGAATGGCATCTCCATGGTCTATGTTGGGTCCACATAGGACAAGATGGCTCCTGCAATATCATAATGAGAACAGGACTTTCCATTGATGTTGCAGTTGGCACCATGATGCCTGTTCCTCTGGGGACGGGCTGCTGGCAGCAACCAGAGGCCACGTAACCAGAGCCTTCTTTGCCAACTACCCCCTCTTTAGGCTCAAGGCTCTGGATGATTGGATGGTGCTGTCAAGTAGAGCATGACTCAGAGTGACACTATGAGCATCAGATCTGAACTCTGTCCTATCCTGGGCCATCCTCATCATCTCTGACTTACTTGAGCCCATTGCTGCTGTCACTGTAGCTTAGTGGTAAGGAATTGCACTGCTAAGCCAAAGGCACGCAGTTTAAATCAGCTTCTCTGCAGGAGAAGGATGGCCAGTGTCCTTCCATGTGATTTTCTGCCTCTGAAAACCTGCTAGAGGGTCAGCTATGAGTTGCTTTTAACTCAACAGCACACAAGAAAAAGAAGAAACAGATGAGCATTAGTGACATAAGCAGGTTTTTAATTATGCTGAATGGAGAGCTCTGGTGGTCTAGCGGGTAAGGAGCTGTGCTGCAATCCCCACCAGCTGCTTTGAGGGAGAAGGGTGGGCCAGTCTCCTCCCAAGTAATTTACTGCCTCTGAAAAACTGCTGAAGGGTCAGCTATGAAGGGTCAGTTTGGACTTAACAGCACAACAACAACAATAACAACAACAACAAGAAACGAAGTGCTGCTCAGCCATGACATTGTACAACAGCCTGATGCCGGGAAGGTTAACATGTGAGAAGAGTAGGAACCCCTGAGTCAAGGCAGCCATTTGGTAAGTGCAGTAAGAAGACAGTATCATTTATGACTTGTGTGATCTCTAGGCAGGTCTGCCTTGGGTCCTCCTTCTCTGTTCTGCTCTGCAGTCTTCAGGTCCTGGCCAGCAACCTGCCCTGCCAGCTTATCTGCCCCTCAGTAGCTGCAACTGGGCTGCTGTGCCATCTGTGCCCCTTATTGAGTTCAGGGTCCACAGCAACTACTAAGAGTGATGGACAGCAATAGAATCTGAATGTTGTTTTCCAGTAGTAGGTATCCAAGGAGATCACTCTGTAGGCACTGGAATAAAATAAGGACATGCCTTCACAAAGGACTAGAGACAGGTGTGCAGGATGGTTATTCCCTTTACCTGCTTCCTTGTGGTTCACTTTGTGTAGATGCAATTAACCCCCTGCTTGGGTACAGTGAAGTGATGTCTTTGAGCTATGGTGTTGGAGAAGAGTATTGACTATCCCTCTGACTGGAAACCCCCCCAAACCAACCGAAATAGATAAGTCTTGGAGAAAATGCAGCCAGAATGCTCCTTGGAGGCAAGGATGCCAAAGCCTCATCTCCCATACTTTGAGCATGTTGCTAAAAGAGGCTGTTCCTTGGGGAAGGAGATCATGCTTCGAAAGGTGGAGGGATGGTGAAGGAGAGGAAGACTCTCAAACAGATGGATTGATACCGGGTCTGCAGCAATGTACTTAAATGTGTGAAGATGGAGCAAGATAGGACAAGGTTCAGATCTTTTGTTCACAGAGCGTTATGAGTCATGCTCAACTTTACAGCACCTAAGAAGAACATTACCAACAACCAAGGCGCAGCGAGTCACAGAAGATGGGTGCAGACACTCCTGGAGAGCAGAACTTGACCGGCTCAAGACAGCGACAGTCCCACCCTTGGCTGCCTGTGCCGAGAGTAAGTCTGGCAGAAGTAGACAGGCGCTGGTACTCCGAGCCCCTCTTACCTTGGCACTGATGTCCTTGAACTGGTGTTCCTCCCAGGCCTCCGTGGGGTGATTTATCATGGTGAGTACAGCGTTGTCATATTCTTCATACTTGGTGTAGAGGAATACCAGCTCAGCCCAGAGATGCGCCTGCTCAGCGGCTCTCAGCACCTGGAGGGAGATTGCAGGCCGAGGTGGCTCGGACACGTGCCAGGTGCGCACACAGCAGCCCGAAACTCCAGGAGGGCTCCGCTACCTTGGGGATGTTCATGTGGGACCAGAAAAGCTCCAGGTGCTCGCGCATCTTCTGAGGCTTGAACTTGCAGTAGAGGATGGCCAGCTCTGTGAACATGCCCATGTGAGCCTGTTCCAGGCCCAGGGCTGCCTCTAGCAGGTCGATCAGATTCTCAAAGTAGCCCCGGTCCTGAAAGACCAAGGATGACATGCAGGGTAGGATGGAGGCAAACTCCATGCTCGCCAACCCCAGCCTAAGCCCAAACCTCAATGGCCATGGCTTTGAGTAGATACACGTGAAGAAAATGTCTCCACTTGTTCAAGCATGTGACAATCTCTCCTCTTTGGGAAACAGTGCACCTCACTGTAATTGTCAGAATTTGTGAAGTACTGCCCATTTTTATGAGAAATTAATAAGGGACAACAGGGAACAAGGTAAAAAGAGTGGCAAATCAGCCCATTCCTATGGGGCTTGGATGCCCTGATAGCTTCAACTTCACTTTACCCTCCCTCCCTGTTATCTCTTACCAAGTCCGATTCAAATGCCTCAGCAACCAACCCACCAACCCAGCCTTGACCCTCTCCTGCTCAGTCACACTCCCTAGGCTGGATGTGACTTCCTGGTCACAGATGTCCATCAGGACTGATGTGCAGAAGCATCCCCTGCCCACCACACCGATGGCCCTCCCATCACTCAAGACCTCTCCCCACAAGAAGACACAAGAGGCTGCCTAGGAGCACCAATCTCTCCTCTCACGAGGCCTCCAACAGCCTCTCCTGTCCCCAGCTCAGCTGATAACCTCATGAAGCCCATAAAAAAACCACCCACAGCATCTTTCTACCCATCCCTGCATCCACATTCTGGCTGCAGACACACCATTTGTGTTCTTGATCCCCAGCACTAGCATCAAAATCCCTTTCTAGTTCTCATGGCAAGAAGTTGCACTGCAATCCCAAAGGCATGTGGTTTGAATCCAACATCTGCTCTGTGGGAGAAAGATGGGCAGTCTCCTCCCATGTGACTTACGGCCTTTGAAAACCTGCTGGAGGGTCAGCAGTACAACAATAACAACAGCTATTTTGTGACTTGCAAATATACAGCAGTCTTTCTTACACCTATGCACTCTCACCAGTACAATCCCATTTTCCAACTTTGCTGTGTAGCAAAAACTCTTCAAAAAGATGCTGCCCACACTCCCTGCTCTAAGGCCTACCCTATTAGGTGTCCCATGATCCAACACTGCCATTGGCCACAGCCCTCCTTTCTTCCCATCATCTGCCCCTCAAAAATATCTGACCTGCTGATCCCTCTGAGTCTTCCTTTCTGGGACTGCACAGAGACTCTCCCTGTTCTGTCTATACAGTTCCCTGGTTGATCCTTCCCTTCCCACCTGGCATACTTACATACACTGTTGACATGGTAATAACTCCCTATTTTATGTCTTCTCCTGTGTCTCTTCCCTAAAGACCAGACTCTATTTCCAACTGCCTGCTTGACACTTCTGAACATCCAGCAGTAAGCCCCTGGCCTGTCTACAAGAGACCTCCTGCTCTTCCCATCTTCATTGTGCCATCTCCATTCTTGGTAGCGACGTATTTAACACCATGCAAGCCCAGAACAAATAGAGCCATTCTTGACTTTCCCCACCTTATCCTGCACACAGTCTGACATAGACTGAATAGTGTGAACCCTATGTTGTTGTTGTTAGGTGCCGCTGAGTCGAGTATGACTAACAGAGACCCTACAAATAATAGCTCTGAGCCTTGTCCTGTCCTGTGACATCCTCACCATCTCTGATACATTTGAGCCCACTGCAGCTCTTTCTGGTTGAGGGTCTTCTGTCTTTCGCTGACCCTCCATATTTCTGAGCATGATGACCTTCTCTAAGGAACAGCCTCTCCTAGCACCATGCCCAAAGTATGAGAGATGGAGCTTTGTCATCCTCGCCTCCAAGGAACACTCTAGATGTACTTTCTCCAAGACATCTGTTTGCTCTTTTGGCAGCCCATGTGACATATAGCACTCTTCTCTAACATCACAGCTCAAAGGCATCAATTCTTTTTCTATCATTCCTATTCATTGTCCAGTTCTCAGATGCATAGCAAGTGAATAGAAAGATCGTGGCTGAATCATGCACAGCTTAGTCTTCAAATTGACTCGTAGATGTAACCATTTGGTAACAGTATTTCTTTTGCTATGTTAAAGAAGTCATATCAATGTGGGCCATGTTTCTAGAGAATCACTTTCCCCCTGCTCTAATTATTATTTGAGTGAAAGATTACAAAGCAAATTGATTTTCCATCCAAAGAGTTTTACACATTTTGCCTTATGACATTAATTACAATACCCACAATGTAACTTCTCCCTTCTCATCCACTTCTTTCCTGTCTCATTTTCATTAATCTCTGGAGTCTACCCCTTTCTGCCTTCTGAGCTTTATTGCTGGGAAAATGCTGCCTTTCTGATCTCATGTGGTTGATTATTGAAGGAATGAGTGCCCCTCTGATATTTACTGTTCACCTGGCAAGTTGATGTATTGTTTGGCTGTAAGTGGAGTCATGGGGTGAGTTTTGTTTCTGTTTCAAAGGGTGGCTTAGGGCAATCTATGGGTTGCCATCCCTCTCTACCGACCAGTAAGTCTGGCCATTTTTAGGACTCTGAGTTTTGTTCCACATATTCTCCCACTCTCTCCAGGACCTTCTCCTGTGATCCCTTTTTGAGTGGTAGCTGGGCACCATCCAGTGCTTTTCATCTCAGGGTCCTGGAAGTGGAGGCTCTCAGGGTTCATCAGTCCTGCAGACTAAATGTTTTATGCTTGTCTCTCTCTGTCTGTGCTCCAGGCAGGGAGGGACCAGTATTTGCACCTTGGATGGCCCCTTGCAATCTTTTAAGACCCCAGTACTCATCAAAGCGGGATGCAGAACATAGTCTTTGAGGATTATGTTAAGCCAATTGACCCTGATGGCGCCAAAGCTATGGTTCTGAGACTCAAGGAATCAGCAACTCATTCCCACAAGAGGTTTGGATGATTAAAAATCTTTACCCTCTGTTAGTTCTGTAATATATAATATTTTTATATGTATATAGAATGGAATATTTATCTCTGTATAAGCTATCTCTAACTATCCATCATCTATCTAAAAGTTATTTTCTATCTATCTATCTATCTATCTATCTATCTATCTATCTATCTATCTATCCATCCATCTATTGTTATGTCCTGGAGAGTTAGAATCAACTCATAGCTGACCTTCCAGCAGATTTTCAGAGGCTGTAAACTATGAGGAGGAGATTAATCATTTTTCCCCACAGAGAAGGTGGGGGATTCAAATCATCTGCCTTTGGGTTGGGAGTGCAACTTCTTAAACAGTAGGCCACGAGAGCTCTAGATATAAATATGGTTTTTATCGCTGTTTTGTTTACCATAGAGTTGGCACTGACTCATAGTGGGCCATCCAGCTGGTTTGCTGAAGCCGTGGATTCGAACTGTTTGTCTTTGGGATGGTAGCACAGCTCCTTACCAGTAGGCCTCCAGAGTATTCTAGATACAGATCTATTTACAGGATACACTGCCATTACATTTTCACTACACTTAGACCAGAAAGCAGTCATATGAACAGAGTAAGGAAATACTGCATTGTCAAATTCAAGAAAGGAGCGTGTCAGGGATGTGTCCTTTCTCCATACCTTTTGAATCTACAGGTGGAATGGATCATTTGGGAGGGTGGACTCTATGAAGAAGAATGTGGCCGCAGCACGATTGAAGGAAGGCTCATTAACTACCTGTGTTATGCAGATGAAACAACCTTGATTGCTGAAACTGAGCATTTACTGCAGAAGGTCAAGGACTGCAGTCTTCAATATGGATTGAAGCTCAACATCAAGACAACAAAGATTCTCACCACCAGGCCAATTGGTAGTAGCATGATAGATGGAGTAGAGATTGAGATTGTTAACAATTTCATCTTTCTTGGATCCACAATCAACACTCTCGGCACCAGCAATCAAGAAATCAAAAGATGAGTTGCAATGGAAAAGTCTGCTGCTAGGGACCTCTCCAGAGTGCTAAAGAGCAACAATATCAATCCAGAGACTAAGGTGTACCTCTTCCAGGCCATGATCTTCACAATTGCTTGCTATACATCTGAGAGCTGGACAACAAATAAGGCTGATAGAAGAAGAATCGATGCCTTTGAGTTGTGGTGCTGGAGAAAAGTCTTGAATATACCATGGACTGCTAGGAGAACAGGTTTGTTCTGGAGAGGGTGAAATCAGGTTGCTTCTTGGAGGTAGGGATTTTGAAACTCTGTCTCACATACTTTGGGCATGTTGCCAAGGAGGGACCCAGTCCTTGGAGAAGAATATTATGTTTGGAAGGGTGAAGGGACAGTGTAGGATAGAATGGATTGACACAGTGACTGTGGCAGAGGGGGCAGGTGTGTCAGAGACAGTAAGACTGGTTCAGTATGATAGGGCAGGGTTCAGAGCTATTGTTCATATGGGTGCTATGAGTCATAACTGACTCAATAGCACACAACAACTAGTATTAATGTGGGAATATTGTCTGCCAAACCTGCTTATGGTTATGGGTATATCCCCTTTATTCTGTTTCTGTTCCTGACAGTCACATTCAAGGATATAAAAGAACAGATTAACACAGGGAAGCAGGAAAGCACAGAGTGGGAAGACAAAGGTCATGCTGCAGATGACTGCTATGGAACAGAAGCTGAGAAGTTACAAGGATCTTGCTCCAGAAATGACACAGAGAGGAAGCCATCTAGAGCCAGAGGCCTAAATTCAGACTTCTAGTTCCCACCTAGGGAGCTCTGGTGGCTTGGTGGCAAGGAGTTAGTTGTGCTGATAGCTCAAAGGCACGCTGTTTGAATGCACCAGCTGCTCTATGGGAAAAAGATGTGCTCTTTTCCCATGTGATTAACTACCTCTGAAAACCCCCCTCAGAGGGTCAGCTATGAGTCCATTCTGACTTGACAGTACATAATAAGTCTTCCAACTAAACCATATACAAATAAATTTTATTTGTTAAAGCCACCCAGTTGTGATATTGTTATATAGTGGCATTGTCATTATTGTTGGGGTGTACTGTTATAGTACATTGTCATTATTGTTGGGGTGTACTGTTAAATTGGAACCAACTCAGCTTATTAAGTGCCATCAAGTCTTTTATTACCTCATACAGACAAATGTGAACAACAAATATGAACCCTGCCCTAAACTGCGCCATTCTCATGATCTCTGATGTGCTCTACAGTGATTGTTACATTCATTATCTCAATCTTGTTCAGGGTCTTCCTCTCTTTCTCTGACCTTGGTGTTGTTGTTGTGTACCACTGAGTCTGAACTGATCCATAAGTGACCCTCTGGCAGGTTTTCAGATGCAGGTAATTACACAAGAGGAGATTACTCATCTTTCTCCTGTGGAACAGCTGGCAGATTTGAAATGCTTGCCTTTGGTAATGAAAATACATTCTATCAGGATAGCTGGTGCCCTGATGGTAAGAACCTGAGCTGCAATCCCAAAGGCACAGAGTTTGAATCCACCAGCTGCTCTCAGGAGAAGGCTGAGCAGATTTACTGTGAAAAACCCATTTGAAAACCCACTGGAGGATCAGCTATGAGTTGTTTCCAACTCAACAGCAAACAACAACAGCACCATCAGTACATAAAATTGCCTACTATACCCTAAAATTCAAGTTCCACACCTCAAATGTGACCACCTCTCACTCTCTTTCACTACCTCCCTCTAGCCTAGCTTGTGCAACAGTGACCAGCCAGAGGCAGATGACAAATCACAAGGTCAGCTTGCTTGAGGAAGGCAGTGCTTACCCTGCCCATTGAGTACTCCACTGCTCTCCTCCTGGGTGATTTACAGCCTCTTAAATCCTGAGGGAGGGGCAGCTAGTAGTCGTTTCTGACTTCATGAAAAGCAAGGGAGTGAGGGGGCTGTACACTAGGCCACTAGGGTTGGGATCTGGGCTGTGCCATGACTGGCCTAGTATTCTCAGAAAGTTACTAAAAGATCCTCCCTATTTTGCAAGTCATTAACTGTTCTTGGACAGATGCAGTGACCAGAGAAATGCAGGCTGTTTTCACAAACAGAAAACACCATCAAATTACATGGTCCAAGATGTCCAAAAAGACCATGCAAATTTAATTTATAAAATGATTATTTAGTGCATGAAAGGAACTTTCCTCAAATAGAAAGGCTTTGTGATTTTTATAATTACTTGCTGAAGAAATACTGTGGTCATCACCTCCCTCCCCTATAAGGAAAAGTCTGTCCCTCTGTTAGGAATACTGTAGGCCACTCCTGACCCTTGTTGCTATAGTGGTATTTCTGGCCAGAGAGCAGTTACCTGGTAATAGTGGATCAGGTCCTCCAGCTCATTGGCATGAGTGACTATGTGGAGACTACACAGCTGTGCAAGGCGGAACTGCTTCCCATCCACACAGGCAAAGCACACCTGAGGGAAGGAGAGGCGGAATGAAGGTCCTGATAGGCACCTGATGTACAGAGGGGCACCAGGAAATGCAGAAACACTAACCAACGGGAATGCTGAAGTGGGCTCAGTTCAGCAAGTGGGCATCTACAAGATGAACCCTATGAGACCCTAGGAAAATACAGAATTAATATTTATAACCTGTGCATCATAGCAGTATTTAAAATGAAATTTTCATTTACATTGGGTTTCATACAATCATTCTCATTCATTATATTTTATAATATA